GGGAGAGGGAGAGGGAGAGGGAGGGGGAGGGGGAGGGGGCTTGATTTCAAGAAAACAAAACTTTCACAAGGCAAAGAGTATCATTGGACCAAAAAAGGAAGGTAAATCATCTCCACGAATTCCCTATCATTGAGACTTTTACGAAACCCAAAATCCCATGACACCGAGGAAAAAAAAAAACCTAACCATTGAATCAATATGAGCATGATTCCCAAGCCACAAACCCTCCCAAAATCTCATTCTCTCCCTTTTAACCACAAGAAATTCAACATTTTGAGAAAAAAATGGAAGTCCTTGATAAATGAGTTTCCATTGGTTTCGAAAACTACCTCTTTCAACCCCATTAGCATCCCATTCATTGGCTTGTAACCATATTTGCTTATAATAACCATAAGTCACAAAGAATTTTGTTCCAATGAAAACCTCCAAAGCCATTTTCCAACAAGGGCTATGTTTCTAACATTCAAATTACCCAAAGCTAACCCATCGTTAACTCTAGGCCTCGAAACCACCTCCAAGCTAATCAAGTTGTCCTTTCTACCTTCACTACCCTTCCGTAAAAACTCTCTCATCATCTCTTCAATCTTTTTAGCCACAACACCAAGCAATTTAAAGAGAGACATAAAATATATGGATATACTAGCCAAAACCGTCTTGACTAAAGTAAGCCTACTCCCTATTCCATCCATCTAATCTCCTACCTATTTTTTCCATAGGAAGATCCAAATATTTTAGAGGCCAACCTCCTACAGAACATCCCAAAGCTCCAACCAATCGAGAAATTTTGTATTGATTAAAATTAATTCCCACAGCCACACTCTTTCTCATATTGACCTTAAACCCTCACACCAACTCAAAGACATCAACAATCTTCTTAATATTCAAAAACTTCCCCACATCTCTAAAGGAGAAAAAAATAGTATCATCTGCAAACTGTAAATGTGACATTGTAACCATCTCCCTGCCAACATTAAAACCTTCCACCATATTACACTTTTCTGTCATCACCATTAACCTACTCAACTCATCCACAACCATAGTAAACAAAAAATGAGACAAAGGATCCCCTTGTCTAAGGTCAACTATGGGAGCAGTAATATGTAACCTCAAGCTACCATAACAAGGAGATGGCCTGGTTGCATTGGGACCATGCCATCCACCAAATGGATAATGCTCAAGCCTCAGACAGCCCCTCCCCAACACCTCCCTCCTTCCTCTATTAACACATATAAATGAAATCACCTCATACCACAAAGTGAAGAAAAACAAGTTGTCCTTCCAATTACACCGAATCTGTAGAAATCCACTTGGTTACCTCTTTTTCATGTAACTCCCACAAAAATTGGAGCATATGTGTGATGAGATGCCAATGGTCCAACAATTTTCCACCCATCAAGTTTTTGGGATTCTCAAGTGACTAGGAAAGGAAACAGATACCAAGCAACTTGGAAATGATATTTATAATGAATAAACATTGACAATTATGTTAGAACTCCAAAACACCCACTCTAATGAAATCACAAATCAGCAAATGACTTTGCTCTCCAGAACAAGACCAAGCAAATAAAACAAATGCAAGCTTACATGACTTGATAAAGCAGTCTACCATTAGTCTTCAGGAAGATGTCAATAACCGCTTCATGCCAGTTTTCTGCTCTGAAGTAAGCTTGGCAGGGAACTTGACGTTGAACTTAATTCTCAAATTCCCTTTTCTTGTAGGTTCTTTGGGGATGGGCATCCCCTCCCCTTTTACAACTTCTTCATAGGTGGGACTAATGACAGATGTAATGGGTATTGTCAGATTCCGCCCATCAAGCGTTGTCAACTGTGCAGTGTAACCCGTAAGAGCTTCCACCAGAGTGATCTTCTGAGTGGCAATGAGATCATTGCCATCCCGCTTGAAGACACTGTGAGGCTTTTCATCAATAATAAAGACAAGGTCTGATGGTATAACACCTCTCTGTTCGTTCCCCTTCTCTGGAAAAGTTATTTTTGTTCCCTTTTTCCAACCTGGCTTGATCTCGATAGTAAGAATTTCTTCCACTGTGGTTGGTCTCCTGCACAGGAAAACAAACATAAAAAGGAAAAACCCACATAAGCACACACACATTTTTGGTTGGGAACATGTATAACTTGCATATTGCAAATCTCTTGGCCATACTTTGCCAATCCTTGGGATAACAACCGCCCAAGTCAGACTCCCAAAAACAATTAAGAGCAATCCCTCACCTCAAAAAGGAACAGGCCAACTATTTGAAAACAGCTCATGAAAAAGAGCATGTTTTTTTGTCTTAAAAAATATAAAAACAAAGATTTCATACTACAGATTTTTCAAAGAATAAGAGGTCACATATTCAATAATGTCCATGCATAATGACAATGTACAAGGAGTAACTTAAAAAATCCTCTAGAGTAAATACTGTATCTTCCGTACTATTCAAGACGGTTAATGCCCAAAAACAAAGCAATAGCATCATTAAGGGGTGTACATAACACACAAGACCCATATTACATGGAGTGGCATAACAATGTCTAACGCGTGCTGATATATGAACATTTCAATATACACAAAGACAAAGATGAAGGATTTTGGTTAACTGACTAATCGACCACATGTCCCTAATTAGTGGATCGTAGTTCTATAACCAAGAAAAACCCTCGCACCAACACCTAACTGACTTAAATAGAGAAACTTAAACTATGATCGTTTTATTTCTGAACAAGCACCATCATAAAATCACAAGATGCACGGGTTGACTAATATTCACAAGTATGGAAACTATAAGAGAACCTACAATGCAAACAACTCAAAAACAATTGGTCCACAATAGCATTCACTGCCCTCTCTGTTGCAAAATTTTACAACATACTCTTGATCTAACTTCAGATAATCAAGACAAAATTATCCTACCTAGGAAGCATGGATACGAGTACGACACGATACAATTACAATACGTCTATATATATATATGTTATTACAACACTAGGGATATGAGGGATTAAGAAATAAAACACATCCAACCTAAAATAATTTATGTTACTGAGATAGGACTACTTAATGGTATTTTAAATTTAAGATTCTATATAATTCTAAAGTTGAAGACTAGTCACCCTTCAAGATTCGTCAACTTTTACTTAACATTTAATTGCAATAGACTTCATTGGCTTTAACTTAAGCCATAAAGACTTATTATTCAAGCCAAACAAATTGTAAAGAATTGACAAATCTTGTGATGCATGTCCAAATAAACATCTTAGAATGAGGAATTCCCATTTGTATGATTCACGGTTTCTAAACAACCCACCTCACTAAGTATAAGGCGAATGTATTCACTGTGGTGTGGAGATGAGCGTATCCGAGATGTATTCGACAAGTATCTAACAATGATAAATATTTTATTAATTATTCAATACATGCAGGAAGTATCCGATACGTATCAGATATGGATACGTCACCCCGACCGAAATATCGGTGCTTCATAGCATCCTACACATGAAGCGATAAAATACCAAGATAAAAAAGAATGAAAACATAGATGAGACTGGAAATTTTAAAACAAGAACAAAACCAATACATAAAACATAAGGTTGCACTTCTTTATATTGCATGACATCAGCAACAAGTATCTTCATAGATAGCATATGAAAAAAGTTGCAGAGTATGGAAAAATATAGAGCACAAAAACAACTGTAAACCAAGTTTGTAATTACCTGAATAACAACTAAGATCATGTAATCAAAACCATTCAAAGCACCAACTATTGATGAATTCAAAGCCTTAAATATGAAAGTTAAAAAACTTTTTCTCCGGGCAAATTGATGTTTCTATGGTAACCAAAAGGATTTGACACTAGTAGACATAAAATGGGGTAGGCCAGTACAATAAAGTACTGTGTATCACAGAAATACCTGACACTAGCAGCAGAGTGATACAAATAGAACCACAGTAACGATCAACAAAAGTAACACTACAGTACAAGTCTGTCTGAAGTAATTCCAGATTCCAGAAAGTTTGCAATGTACCACATAATCACAAACGAACCAAAATGGAATACCAATTACCCCTACTCATATGCATATACACCTGATAACCAATAACTCTGTCCTAGAGTGATATCTCCATAGCACAAGAAGGGAACTTGCTGAACACATTTACCATCAATCTAGGGCAAGATTCTAAGATGTGTGATTCAATAAATTGGAAAATTCCATGTTTGCTTAATATGTCTGTTCTGGTACTATTTTCGATCTCCATAGACATTTATCTACTTCTAACAATGCCAATATTCTTTTTCTGTAATGTGATAGCATTCTTGGGCTCATTCTGAAAATTTCCATTAGTTCTCTCTATAAAGATGATCCACATCAGTGGTTAGCATAGTTAACAGAAAACTTCAGTAATTTGAAGTCCATTCTATGGATCAGGCCAAGCTTTTGCTGCCAACTAAAATCCCATTTGTTCATGAGGAGTTCTACAACTTACTATTGATGCACTAGCATGAAAGGGCCACTTTCAACACAGGCACGTGTGACGTAGAGTTCTAGGAATCTAGAAACAGGGAAACAACTACATGGGTACTAAATGAAAATGTGAGAACTTACTAAATTTAAGTCCCTATTAACAATGGGGAAGAATAATACTGATCGCATTAATGACTAAGGTATCAAACTTTCTCTTGGTAAAATTCCACAAGGCATAAAAAACTTGTTCCTTCACAGCGTTGAACTCAAGTCAAGAATAAAAATTATTTGTAAATGTCAAAGTAGTGTCAGATATGACAAAGTTTAATAACTTCAGAACAAAGGCTGTGCCTGATACAAGAATGATCAATCAATTCAAGCATCAAACAAATCATACCCAACAAGTAATCAGATTGCACAAAACTATTTTCAATGCATCAATTGTTCAAAATTACACATACAATTTCATCAAAAAAGTAACTTTGAACTCAATTAAAGCCAGCCAAGTACAATGGCAGGTAAAATAACTGAAAATTTTTCATAAACCGATAAAAATCATCCAAATTAAGAAGCGAAGCTCACCCACTAGAATCCGTAACATCCCTCGAAATCTTCATCTTCTTAGTGGTCCCTTTATATAAATCCTCCAAACTACAAGGCAATGTTCGCTCTATCGGTGCCCCTTTCCGCGGAACATTGCCGGACCCCTCTCCACCGCCACCCCTAAAAGAAGCAAATATGTCTTCCCCAAACATACCCCTCGGAAAGCCCGACCCGCCGGCCCGTGAGCCTCCCATGTCCCCCATTCCTCCGAACGGGCTCGAGAACCCAAAAAACTCAGAAAAAATATCATCGGCACTGCGAGGATTGAACCGGAACGAGCTGGGCCCTCCGAACGAGCTAAACCCACCAGCACCTGGCGGTGGCACTTGCCCCTTCAAACCCTCTTCCCCGAACTGATCGTACACCGATCTCTTCTGTGGATCACTCAAAACCTGTAACCAAACATTAAAACATGATTGAATCAATTAACCTCGAAATCGAGAATTAGAGTTTTGGATATATACATATACAAGAATCTATACGTCGTAGGCTTCGGAGATTTGCTTGAATTTGGCTTCGGCGTCTTTCTTGTTGTTAGGGTTTTTGTCGGGGTGCCACTTCATGGCGAGCTTGCGATAGGCTTTCTTCAAGTCCTCATCACTGGAGCTGCGGTCCACCTGAAGAACCTTGTAGTAGTCCACACCCATGCCTTTCTCTCTCCTCTCTCCTCTCTCCTCTCTCCTCTCTCCTCTCTCCTCCCCTTTGTCCCTCTCGCTGGTTTCTCTCTCTTCTGTGTGTTGGTCGTGAAGTTCGTACACGGAACTTCACTGCTGCGGATGGGTATCCGTCAGCGACGAAGGGTGGGTCACATGGGCCTGGATGGCCCTTTAAAGGCCCATGATTAAGTTGAAAATCCATGTTAAACAAGGCTTTGGCGGGCCAACAATTTCGTACGGAATTGCCCTTTGTTTTTACCATTCGGTAGGGTGCAACGGCAGCAGATCACTACACCAACAAATCATTGCTATAGATTTCCACATCTCTCTTTCTGTTTTTTAGGATTAATTACAAAATTTCCCCTTAAACTCTTGTTTCAGTCAGTTCTCCCAAGTTTTAATTTGAATAATTTGCCCCCTTATGTTTCAAAGTGAGCAAATAGACTGATAGACATGACTGAGATGATGAAATTCCAAAGATACCCTTGACAATTGTAAATGAAATGGTGCCAAAGAATTTGTACTTTTTTGCTAATAAGGATAGAATGGTCTTGTTGACATGAGAGGATTTAGGATGTTACTGTCACATGTAACATAGGGCCGTTAATTATTTTTATTTTGCTCACTTTGAAACTTGAGGGAAACAAATTATTCAAACTAAAATATGAGAGTTGATTCAAATAAAATTTATAGTTTAAGTGGGTATTTTGTAATGGGGAATGCATAAACCTATATATATCAGCAAATGGAAGTAAAATGAAAGTTAAATACAAGTTACCAAATGTTCATATTTGTCAAGACAATGTATGTTTCAAAACATCTTTTGTCCTAGTACAAAATATGACTAGTGAAGTCATCCTTGGATTACCATTTGTTTACCTGTTCTATCCATTTACAACAGATACTAAAGGTGTAATCACTAAGTCATTTGGTCAATCAGTAACTTTTAATTTTATTAGTAAACCAGAAACTAAGACATTAAGGCAACTAAGAGATCACTCAGTCTCTCAGCATCTTAATGCAATCAATCAAAAAACTCAACAGGTAAAATTTCTCAAAGATGAAATTAACCATAAAAGAGTTCAAGAACAATTAACAAATCCAATCTTAATTAAAAAGATTGAGCAATTTAGGTTAAAATTGGAAGAAGAAGTATGTTCTAACCGTCCTACAGCTTTTTGGCATAGAAAGAAACATATGGTAAAACTTCCATACATCAAAGGATTTAGTGAGACAGATATCCATACTAAATCCAGACCAATCCAAATGAGCCATGAAGTAATGGAAATCTGCACGAAAGAGATTGCCCAGTTACTTAACAATGACATCATTCGGAAATCCAAATCTCCTTGGTCATGTCCAGCTTTCTATGTCATCAAAAATACAGAATTAGAAAGAGGCGTACCAAGACTAGTAATCAATTATAAACCATTAAATGTTATTTTGGAATGGATCAGGTACCCAATTCCAAATAAACAGGATTTAATTAAAAGACTTAGTAATTCAGTAATCTTTTCTAAATTTGATTTAAAAAGTGGTTACTGGCAAATCCTTATATCTCCAGAAAATAGATATAAGACTATATTTACAACTCCTTTTGGTCATTATGAATGGAATGTAATGCCCTTTGGATTAAAAAATGCACCTAGTGAATTTCAAAATATAATGAATGAAATTTTTAATGGAATTAGTCATTTTTCAATTGTCTATATAGATGATATCATCATTTTCTCCAAGTCAATAGAAGAACATTGGAAGCATCTTCATGCTTTCGTTGAGATAGTTAGGCACAATTGTCTAGTCATCTCAGTTAGTAAAATTAAGTTGTTCCAAACCTCAGTAAGGTTCCTTGGTTACAACATACAGCAATCCACCATTATTCCCATCAGTCTTATATCTATCTTCTGGAGATATAAGGATTTGCTAGTAACCACTTTTCAAATCAAATTTAGAAAAGATTACTGAATTACTAAGTCTTTTAATTAAATCCTATTTATTTGGAATTGGGTACCTGATCCATTCCAAAAAAGCATTTAATTGTTTATAATTGATTACTAGTCTTGGTACGCCTCTTTCTAATTCTGCATTTTTGATGACATAGAAAGCTGGACATGACCAAGGAGATTTGGATTTCCGAATGATGTCATTGTTAAGTAACTGGGCAATCTCTTTCGTGCAAATTTCCATTACTTCATGGCTCATTTGGATTGGTCTGGATTTAGTATGGATATTTGTCTCACTAAATCCTTAGATGTATGGAAGTTTTACCATATGTTTCTTCCTATGCCAAAAAGCTGTATGAAGGTTATAACATACTTCTTCTTCCAATTTTAACTTAAATTGCTCAATCTTTTTAATTAAGATTGGATTTGTTAATTGTTCTTGAACTCTTTTATGGTTAATTTCATCTTTGAGAAATTTTATCTGTTGAGTTTTTTGATTGATTGCATTAAGATGCTGAGAGACTGAGTGATCTCTTAGTTGCCTTAATGTCTTAGTTTCTAGTTTACTAATAAAATTGAAAGTTACTGATTGACCAAATGGCTTAGTGGTTACACCCTTAGTATCTGTTGTAAATGGATAGAATAGGTAAACAAATGGTAATCCAAGGATAACTTCACTAGTCATATTTTGTACTAGGACAAAAGATGTTTTGAAACATACATTGTCTTGACAAATATGAACATTTGGTAACTTGTATTTAACTTTCATTTTACTTCCATTTGATGAACTAAGTTTCTCAAGTGTCTTTTGATAATACTTAGTCGGTATTATTCCTTCTTGAATACAGTTAACATTTGCACCTGTATCAATAAGGGCAACAGTTTCAAGTTTAAAATCATTAATGATGATTTGTACTTGAGAATACCGTTTTTGGAAGCTAATTTTGTTAACCAGATTAATTCTATAACTATCATTACTTTGTGAACACCCATCATGAGATGACAGTTTCGTTACACCTAAATTTTTCACTAAGAGGTGGAGGTTACAGGTATCCGTTGTAATTGTGTTCTATCCTGAGATTCTGTCTCAGATTGTTCATTAACTAATGGCTACTTTTCAGGATTAAAATCCTTTATAGGGCCAAAGCTATCTGTGTGTAAAAAACTTAAAGCTTCTGCAAGTTTCTTGTCTTGAGCTTTTAGTTCTTTAATTTCAGATTTAATTTTATTAATTTCAGCTTGAAGATCTTGTAAAGTGAGTTCTTTCTTTTTCTCTTTACTAAATCTTTTCATAGCTGTGTTGAAGCTAATAAGTTGCTTACTACTAGAAGTATTCTTATCATCTTTTTTTACTAAAAGATCTTTGAGTTTTTTAACATACTTGATTTTTAACTCAGGATCCTCTATTTTACTGATTAACTCAATGAGAATGTTTTCTTCTTCATTCTCTTTGGTTATTACATTAATTGTCTTACAGATACAACTATCCTTACAACCTATTTAAATGTTAGGTTCACTAGGATTATCAGATGCTGAGAGGTACTCAGATTCAGTTTCAGAACTACTATGGGAGTCTGAACTTTCTTTACTATGATTGTTTAGCCTAAAGATTTTAAGAATTTCTTCTTCTTCTTGTGGCGTTAAGTTTAATCTTTTAACTTGCTTTTTAACTAGACAATTAGGACTAATATGACCTGTTTTTACCATAGTTAAAATATTTAACATCTTTATCTTTTTTAGACTTAGATGTGTTAGCTTGTTTCCCAGATTTTTTTCTTATAAGTTTTATGCTTATAAGATTTCCTAGAATTTTCATAAAAATTTGGTTTGCTAAAAGTCTTTTTATTTCTAGAATAATGACTTTTGTTTTTACTATATGGTTTATGGGATTTGTGTTTCCTGCAACAGATGGTGCTACTGAAGGGAGACCATATTGTTTACAGAAATTTTCCATTTCATATTTAACTTTTTTCTTATCATTGACAAGTTGCTTACTTAGCTTCATGTCAATACACATCTTAAGTCCTTCATTTTGGATGGTACTAATAAGATTGTCATATGTGAGGGAATCATATTCAATAATCTCTGTATCTTTACTAAGTGCATCCCTAATCTTATGGGCAAAGAGATTTGGGAGGCCATTAACAAATTTTTCTTTTCAAAAAGATTTATTGCAATCCGGTCGAATCATGACTCTAGAGATGAATACATCTTTGTACTATCTAAAGTCACTGAGTGTTGGGCACCTTAGATTACTAAGCTGATCATGGATTCTAGCTTCAATATTACTTGGTGTACCAACAAAATGTTTAATAATGGTATAAATGAGAGTATTGATACCATCAGATCTATTTTTACCAAGAGTTTGATCAAACACTGGTATACCATCATCATCTTTGACAACAACATACTTAATCTCATCTTTGGTTTCTTGTGTGATATAATTGTCCCACCAACTACGTAACATACTAGTAAAACCTGAAGTGATAATGTCAACTATCTCAGGTTCATCTTGGTCAAGATTTGTTAGATAACTATTAATAACCATAGACATGTGATTAATTTTATTCAGAATTTCTTGTTCACTTAAATCATCTATGTTCCATTCATAGAGTTTGTTAGCTTGAACAGAAAACTGATTATTAATATTTTTTTTTTCAAATTGAAGATCAGGAGGTGTTGGTCTGGTGTACTAATTTTTACTAATACTAGTTGGATTAACATTTGAAAAAGTCAATTTGTTAATCTGAGTGTTACCAAACTGTTCTTCTAATTTACTTATTTCAGAATCAGATGAACTTACTGAGTTTACTTCTTCTGAATCACTAGAAGTTTGGTTAATGACAGTTACTTGGGAAGTGCTTTCTTTCTTCTGAGAAGCTGGTTCTTTCTGCTTCATTTTAGAAATAAGTTTTTTAATCTTCTCAATATTTTGACTGTCTTTTATGCCTAGTTTACCACGACCCTCAAGTAGATGAATTAGAGGTTTTTCTAATTTATTACCTGGTTTGATCTCATCAATTTTATTTTCAATTTTATCTAACTGTTTACCTATAGTGATTAGGCTTTGGTTAGTAAAATTGTTTTGTTCAACAATTTTCTTTTCAGACTCTTTTGAGGAGAGTTTGAAAGGAGAGGCTACAACAGGTTTACCATGGTTAATGACAATGGTTTCTACTGGAGGGTGACTA